TCTTTAATTTTATCTAAATAATTTTGACGTTCGAGAAGTACCAAACCTGCTCCCTCATCAGAGCGCGTGGTCAAAATACTTCCTTTCTTTTTAAGGAGTTAGAAGTGTTTTAAATGTTCTTCAGTAATGTGAGGTTGGCTTCTCGGTTACATTTTTATGAATTGGTAGACAAAATCAAGTATTGTTGATTTGATATGATTCAGTTCATTTGCGTACGTTGGTACTAAATGGATTGTCTGGCTGATTAGATTTTCGAATTGCAGTGGTGTATGTAGCGGGTTTTGGTTTCGAAAATATTTTCGAAATTTGGGACCCAGAGACGAAAATTTAGCTTGTATAGAGTAAGCTGCAGTGACGAGTAATTATGAAAATAATTCATAGGATATTCTGGAAACTTCTCGGGGAATTGTTGCTTTGAAACTGCTTTTTAGCTTAATCATAGCTTCTTCAGATCTGGATTCGATTACTGTGGAAACAATTTTCGAATTTTGATTTACTTTTTCTAGAGACATTGTATAGTGAATGCATGAGGTTTGTTTGTGATATTTCTCTCAAGCCCAACTAGACCATTAATTGTGTCATTGCGATTTGTTGCATGGCACTTAAGTGTTTTAGAATTTGGACTCAAACGGCTGCGATGAAGAGATTTTTAGGACATTTCCGGGAATTCATGATGATTGATACAGTCATTAAGGAATCGAATTTCATTTCTTACCAAAGCAAGTCTAATGGAATAACGAAGAAACCCATTGAGATCTTTTACCGTGATAGGGTTCTTACTATTTTAATTATACGAAATATATCCTCCATACCACAAAACAAACAGTTCAGCGAAGAACATCTTTTCAGTCGAATTTATTTACAAAAGCTGTACAGTCGTAGGTACATTAGAATTATAATCACTGTTCGTATGCTTTTTTTCTTGACAAGATGCAGTGATAGCGATTCAGTTTTGAGATTTGTGGGGATTTATTTAGTGGTTTCAGGTTGGTATCCATCACGGACTGACATCAGTTGGGAAACCATTGGAAAACTGGCAGCACTGGACATCAGTTTCGTCCTACTATGGGATTCAGCTGTGCACACCCATGACCCCGCAGGGACCGAACCCACGAGCTTCAGGTTCCGCGGCAAGGACTTTACCACTCAGCCACTGGGTCGGAATCCAGTGTTCCATATCTCCCAATTCTGTCAGTTCGCGATATAGCGCGACGTCGATCCAGTGCTGTCGCTGAGTAACTGTCCTCATGTTCAACTTGGTTGATCCCACTAGTCATTAGAACCTCGGAGATCTAATCTCAAGGCAGGTCACTAGTTAGCATTAGACAGTAATCCAGTGGTTCTCTAACTGATGTCAATATGCGATTGTACAGCTTTTGAAAATAAATTCACTGAAAAGGATTTCCTTCACTGAACTATTTGTTCTTGTTATATAAATTACAAATTTCTTCGGTGCCCCTGCACACTAAAACAGGAAACTAATCCTTAACTTCGGATTGATCATTTTAAGGTCATTTGAGAACCTCTCTAAAATGATAGAATTGTTTATTCTTCCCTTTGTTATCAATCTTTCATTCGTATTTGATGACATCATCTACTAAGTTCCAGCCTAACCTTAAACATGCAACTGGGTTGGAACTGGTCAGATGTCGTATCTAGTATCCGTTGTCTGTATTCGTATGTAATACTCAATTTGCTCATGTTTGCTGTAATGTTCAACTAGAGAATTTTGTTAATGCGATAGAGTGATAAAATTGAATGCACTGTCGTCTTAGAAGTCCTGATTATCTCCATTAACCTTCACCTATTTATTCTTTCTCCTTTCAGATACTTTTCTCAACTTTTATTTCATTCGTTTCTGTCTTCCATTTCTTCGCATTCTGTTGTGAATCGTGACAACTTGAACTGATGCACTTCTGTAACGGATTAAAGCTGTGGTTCATTAGTCTGGACTTCCAGCTGATAGTTCATGAGTTCAAACTCCGTTCCACCTATCCAGATGTAGGGGGCCAGGTAGCATCACTAGTTCTCAAATAATATGTGTGGTCCATTGCCTACTGCACATGCCTGCTGAAAGCATTTCGATTTTCTGTATCACATTATGAGAAGATAAACAAACAGAATCAACGTAGAACTACCCACAGGAGTTCATCGGTTCGAGATACCACACTTCACATCAACACGCAAAGAACAAGTGGGTAGAGGAAAAGTAATACTAAGATAGACAATGATCTTAGGGAAGAGAAGAAATTTTGAAATCGAGGTCGGTGAAAACTTTCAGGATCTACAGGATATCAAAGAGTGAATACATCTACCCCATTGTTATCGATTTCCAGTCGTGTCATCAAGGGTCTCTAACCAGTGATTCCTGTCGTCTCGAGGACTCCAATCCGACAGTCTGCTCCTTCGTACAGGGCTCTGATCAACAGTCGAAGGCTTCATATACTAGTACCAAATTGTAGTCGGATGACTCTGAATCTCCTTCCAACCCAATTTTAATTCAGGTAACACTCCACGTCGAGTTGGGTGGTGGTTTGACATGCACAACACACATCCATGTCACCTCGGTCGGTGAAGGTTCACAACCTTATTGACTGACTTTATTTCCTTACCTAGTACCTTGACCCTTGCCTAAACATTTCTCAAATGGTGATTTCAGCATATGTGAGCCACGTTATGAAGACAATTGTGTTCGAAAACCTGTAATCTCATGACATATTCTACTTTTAGTCGCTATATCTCAGAGCCGTGTAATAAGGCAGAGTGAACTGCGCTGAAGTACACTCGTCGTTAATCTCATTCTGTTAAAATAGTTGATGATGATTTCTACCTGAAGTTATCATACATTTTGATATCATTAATCTATGCCTTTACATTACTTTGTTGTATGCTGAGTGTCTATAAGTAGCACATCAATAGAGTTAAAAACTTTCCGGTCGAATACTTTAATAACGACGTTATTCGTACCGTTTTGAAGTGATTCCATATCTTCTGAAGGTTTCATATGCAAAAACAGAGTAAATAGAACTCATTAAATCATTACTAAATTTTAGAGACAACCAAAAATGAAGAATAGATTATATAAATAATTAGGTGAAGGAAATCAATGAACTATACGTTGTACCACAAATAAAAATAGTGGTTTGTGTTATGTTCGGTTAATGATGTTTACTGTGTAACAAGCCAATTTGCCACGCCTCTTATCACTACATCAAGTGAAGAAATGAGGAGGAAAATGGTCAGAAGTAGTAGAAATTTACAACTGGAAATGAAACGAATAAAACAGTAACAAAATTCAGTTCAACGAATAAGTTGAAGATTATGTGTGGATATACTTCGCCCTCGAGATTAATTCAATACCACTGGTTTCCGTTGTCACACAGATTCTAACTAGGAAGTCTGCATTCCTACACATACCTCAAACCAACGTTCAAAGACTTCATGGATCGACGCTAAGCTTTAGTACGACCACCTATTACATTTGTCCAGTTTGACCCTACTTCAGCTAGCATTGTGGGATGGGACAATCGGTGACTAGGCTTGCGTAATATATGTCCCAGTCACCTGGATTGATGAAGGTCGACAACCTTATCAGCTGCCTCACCTCTTCTGTTTGAGACTTTCTACTGACATATGGCCTACGATACGAAGGCCTGAAGCCTCGTTTCCTCTACATTAAATAGTAGTGTTTCACAACCGTATAGTTGGACAGAGTGGACTGTGGCGCAGTACAGTAAGGCATTAATAGATTGTTGGACATCATACAGGCATCATCGTAAGCCGACACAAATCAATTATACGGAGATTTTTTTATGCCACTGACCCATCACAGTTGTTCCGACTTTAGTATGTTTGAACATCAGCAGCTAAACACACAATATGTTGTTACCTTCAGCCTTGTCTCTAAAGTTTTCGATCAATAATTCCCCATGAATTCGTAATCATAGACTATCCACTGGATTCATATCTGAGCTTATTTGACTTTTACACCTAGAACGAAAATAAACAGCACATGAATATTATTGAAAAAGTGGATATAAATTATATTACTGAGGGAAATGCTCTTTCTTAAGTCCCTAGCATTTTATCGAACATAAGAGGGATGCGTTATACGTGTTAAAAACCTTATTCCATATTTCCTTTCAAGCTACTTACAAGACAGTTTGTCATATAGCACCAAATGAATTCTGACCTTTTCGCCGTGCAAAACTACCAGTTCGCTCCATGCTTGATTTTTCACCTCAGGTTATCTCGCGAAAATGTTGACTTTATTCTACACTTTTTCATTAATTTTATTTGTATAGAAGATTCGGTTGTGGTTGTGATTTCAAGTGACATTAACAAATAACAAGATGAGTTATTATTGGTAGTTTTTTTAATTGATGTTACTCCTGGTAACTAGATCATTAGGGGGATATTCAATCACCTTTTTGTAAGCCACAAGTGAAGAATTTGTAATATAACTCAAAGTTTTTCAAAATGGTGTGAATGTATTCTCTCTTCATCACCAAAGCTGTGCACATTTTACAAGCTTCCATCTATTTTTCTCTCATTTTCTCTTTCATGTATCTTTTAATATCGTTCCACTTTTGTTCGTTTTCCCTTTTTATGTACTATTTTAGAGAAGTGGGCTAGTCTTGAAGTGATCAACTCCTATGCTAAGATTTTTCAGCGATCTGTGTCTGTACTTATCCTTTGATCAACTTCACCAGGCTTTCATTACGTGTTTATGCTTTATTGTGAACAGCTACCCAATAAATATTGACTGAATTTGTCTGATTTCGTTTTCTGACTAAGAAACTATATCTAACTTATCCATTGACTATTAAGAACCTAAATACTTATTTGTTTGGGTCACTAACATAACTTTATTGAATTCTTTTATAAAGATTTTATGGCTTTAGCTCTATTTTATGTGTCTTTTCACTAGACCTAATGGTTAGCTATTGTGAAACAATGTTGAAAACCATTCTTCTCTCTTACTTTCTAATAAAATTCAGATGATATGGACTCGTTCCGAGGTGCAGTATGGTATTTTACAAAGGATGTGTATATATGCTATTAAGCATGGACCGATTCCAAAGCATATCGCCTTTATTATGGATGGTAATCGACGATTTGCTGACGAAAAAATGATGAGAAAGTCTGATGGTCACTTGTATGGCTTTTCAAAATTATCCGAGGTATTCAAAAGAATTTATCTATCTATCTGTCTGCATCCCTCTTCGATATATAGGCTCTACAGTGGTGTCGTGATGTAGGCATCGAAGAAGTATCAATTTTTACGTTTAGTATAGACAATTTCAATCGATCGCCTGAAGAAGTATCATTTTTAATGAATTTAGCTGAAGAAAAGCTTCAGGAGTTGCTAGATAACAAGCAAGAGTTTTTTTTCCATTCAATGTTATATTCTCACTAGAGATGATTTAAAAGCGGATGATATTTGTATTCGTGTTATTGGCAATTTGGCATTGCTTCCAGTGAAGATTCAACAGTTAGCTGCACAACTAATGCTTGAAACTAGAAACCACTCAAGGTATGTACAAGCCGACTGTTGGTAGATTTGAACGAAAATAATATTTCCGTTGTACATGCTTTCCCTTTTAGTACATGCAATTAGTTGATTTTGCGACGCTGCTTACACTGCAGTTTTCGTCTGTAATTACACCGCTACACCGTGACGAATGAACCTATTAATGTCTGCATGCTAGTCATCAGTGTTCGAAAACTAGCTCAACTAGGTAGTCCGTTGCATACAATATTTGTCAGCTATTCTCAGTACAGTAACGTCTGAATTAAGTCAAATCTTTGTCAATATTCTTGTGGATATGTAAATCGTTGAGGTATCAGTTCGCTCGCCATCTATTATTTCTAAAATATTGACTGTTACCTGAAGTGATATTGTCTGCTGTAGAAAGACCGATAATAACAGTTAGTAACCTATAAACGTCATCGGATTTCCACAACGTCTTCCGAACTAACTAATGTGAGAAGACGGATTCCAGCTGTGACCATTATGAAGAGCGAAAGTAACTTAAAAGTAAGTTTACCGAAAGTTTTCGCGTCAATCGCCAGCGGCGGTAGGTGACGAAAGTGAAAGATAAAAAGAAGGCATCAGGGTTGGGTAACATTCGGCAACTATTTAGACTTATTGAGTATACCGGCACAAAGAAGATGACGGTTAGTGAAACCATCACCTAGAAGGATGGGGCATTGATAACCTCCCAAGGCAAGTGGTTAGAACGTTGGACAGAGTACTTTAAAGCAATTTCAACTAGCCCTAAGCAATGCTTCAGTTACCCAACATCTAGCCTGAACCTGAATGGAAAGTAGATGTCAGTCCTCCAACTCTCCTTGAAGTTGAGAAGTCTGTGTCGATCCTGAAACAGTGTAGAGCCGCGGAACCTGACAGTTTTCCACCCGAAATTTTCAAGGGTGGAGGTAGGAAATCGCTAATTGAGGTGATGGAGGTACTAGTCAGTGTATAGGAATCAGAAGTTGTGACGCCAGACTGGTTTACTTCACTGATCATCCAAGTCTATAAGAATGGAGAGAACTCTTCTTATGACAACCATAGGGGGAGTTAGTTTGACCAACACTTTGTCCGGGATCCTAGGAACAATAGTTATCCAATGCCTAACTGGAGTTCGAGAAAACCAGGCAGGTTTCATATCTAGACGAGGGTGTATCGATCACATTTTTACCTTCTGACTGGTCCTGGAACACAGAAACGCTTACCGATCGCCGAAACTTATCACATTTCCTGACTTGAAGACCGCATTTGACTTTGTCGATTCTGAGGTGTGACTGTCTGACAGTGAAGGGAGTACTGAGAAAGTATATGATGCTAATCAAAGCTCTCTAATCGAACTCATGCAGTCGTATAACAGCCTGTGGGAGAGTTGTCATCAGATTTGGTGACAACTAGCGGTGCCTGTTGTGGATTCCCACTGTCACTGTTCCTATTTAACTTCCTAGTAGATTTGCTAATGTAAGTAACCTTAGGAACGTCTGACTTCTCAGGGATTAACCTACCACCTGAAAGCTACCTGGTCGACTTGGAGTGTGCAGGTGATATTGTCCAACTGGGTGAATACGCTAACAAAATGCAGGGTTTTGTAAATGCACTGAGCAGACATCTGAGTACCTTCGTCATGCACCTCACACCTATCAAATATGAGACGATGCTCCAAGACTGGCCTACAACCATTCCCAATTTAAGGGATAGGAAGTGAAGCAGTGGAATGTGTCGACCACTTCACTTACTTAAAGAGTTGCGTCAGCTCGGATACAGAAGACCCGTTTGACATTTACCAACTTGCGTCGTCTGTGGTGTCGACTGGCTAGATATCTATCTATCAAGGAATGAGTACACTGCTCTATAGTCCGCTCTGTCCTGTTCTACGGCCGTGAGACATGGCCGTTAAAAAGTAGAATACATGAAGTGATTGCAAGGTTCTGATCACATGTCTTTGCAACATTGGTCGGGTTTGATGGAACCACCATGTGAGTGATGTTGAGGTTAGGCAAAGGATACTAAGTAAAACAGGCCAGTCGAATGATGAGGTTGTTAACCTTAGTCGACTGAGGTGGCCTGGACATGTACTACGCATGCCGAGCCACCCCGTACCTCGATGTGTCATGCTAGGGGACATTGGATTAAGATAGAAGAGGGTTCATGGTGGCTGGACAAAAACATGACACCAGTCTGAGCCTTATGGGAAGATGTTAACTACCTAGCTGTTTGCGGTCACTGAGACGAAAAGAATCAGTGTTTGAAAACTCTTGGTGACATTACTTGAAATCAATCATGATGGTGCAGATATATTAACTTTTTGACGCCTTCTAAAGCTTGAGTATTCGCATCAACCTTCGTCTTTGAATTATTTATTCTTTCGCACAACCTTGTCGACTTTGATATAGCTTTATCTGTCCACTTGTTCTTTGTATGCTCTTGGAAAGTGTGGCAACTTTAGCCGATACACCTGTGTACGAGGTCCTACTTTTTTTCGTGTTTGGTGGCAATTCCAAAGAATTACTCTCTACTTGCCATTGATTTTCTAGTAAGGATAGTGTATGGTGAGTAAAATTGAAAGAGTTATAACCTGTTTGAAAGTTTATATTAAGGTGAGAAGAAACATTCGGAAAGTTGCTTCTTTTACAACTTGTAATAGGAGATTTGCATGAAATTATTGAAAACAGAGACAATAGAATGTTAGAAAATGTGGACAATTTTTAAGGAGTGATGATGAAAGTAGTAACTGTCTTTTTATTACTGAAAACAAAAACTTATTACATCATGGGTACGAATGGGTGCTAGTCAGTTGTGTGCTTTATCCAATCAGTCCCAGGGCTAGAGGTCAGTGACAGTGACAAAGCCTTATCAGAAACAACCAATCGCCCACAAAGCCATCAGGATAGGCTACTAAATAAATTGCAGAGCTCATTTCTTTCTAAAGTTTGTGCTGATGATGCTGTCTAGAATGACAACGAAAGCCTCACAATTAAGCAGTCCACCTCAGAGAATACTACCATCAAAATTATCCTCCCGAGCTACACATATTCTCCAATTTTGTCATAGATGTTCTTATGGAAGTTTCCCTGTCATCATCTGATTTCCTAGGGATTGATGTAAGCACCAAAGAATCCTTGGTAGATCTAGAATATGAAGATGACATAGCCCTGTTAGGTGAAGACATGGATAAGATGCAGAGTTTTATGGACACCTTGAGTATGGGAATATGAAATCGTTTGGGATGCGTTTCTCGCCGCCTAAATGCAAGCTGTTGCTTCAGGACTTCGCCGGTGTTCATGCTAATAATGGAGAGTGGATTGGTTCAATGCGCTGACCACTTCACTTACCTATGAAGTCTTATCACTCCTGGTGGGTCAGTCGCCGACGAAACATCTGCACGGATACAAAAGGCTCGACTGGCTTTCGCCAACTAATGCCATCTGTAGCGCCGCTGTAATACCCGGTTATCTATCAAGGGTCTAGTGTACTGTATGGCTGTGAAACATGGCCATTAAGGGTAGTGAATATGAGAAGTTAGTGCTGATGATGCCGCCTAGCAAGGCGATGAAAGCTTCACGATTAAACAACCCAGCTCAGAGAACACAATACAACCAAGATATGAGAAGGCTTTGGGCGACCACCGTCGCCTTCGTAACATAAGCCGTTTGCTGCGGTGTCACCATGTTTATAATTTAGAAGTCAGGTGTAGAGTTTTAGGGAAGAGATTAAAATCGATCGATGTTGTTGTAAAGCTTTCCTTGACTGGTATGGCTGGGAAGTGTGTTACGCATATCTAGTCGCCGTCTGCTCCACCGCGTAATGTTAGCTGAAGTCAGTTTAAGCTGGAAAGTGGTTAGAGGCGGCTGGCTAAAACCTGATATCAGTACATGAAGTCTTTAACTGTTAGTCTGAGCGATGCAGGCTAGACATTCTACATTCTGCATTCTACTGCTTTTGACCGATTCTTCTCTATATCTTCATCTTTTTTCTTTGTTACTTTCTGTCATGATATTAGTTGTGGCAACTTGGAACGTTATGCAATAATGTCTGGTCCTGTGGTGATCACAATGACTACTCACTGCATCCTTAAATTCACCAATAAGCGTCAAAAAGTTCCAAAGATCTATCGAACCCACAGTTTAATGGTGGGGCGTTCTTCTAAGCCACACACATATATTCATCGTTTTAGTAGCTTCAACTGAACCCGACTGATGTTCATGTATGCCTTCTGGAAGTTAGACAGGGTAACCTTGAATTTATCCGGGTTTGATATTTAGTTGCAATACCAGGTGCAACCAGTTTGCTTAGGTCCATCGGTTTAGGACAGAGATTTCGATAACCACCAAAGTGCGAGATGAACTTAGAACACACTAAATTGTGATCAGATTCTCGATAGGTGCTCAAAAAGAAGTGACAGTTCTGAATGCATGCACACCATTTGTATCTGATAGCAATACGAGCTGCCGGAGTCTGCGTGTGAATGGCAGGGACAGTATGTCAGGTTGCATGACGGTGATAGCTTTGCCGTAGGTTGTGATCTACGTGAAGCTGCAAAAAACGTTCCCCAAATGGAATAATCCTTTTTGGCTACCTAACTGACCCTCCTACGGGCTTATAAGCCCGACCCATGCATTTAAGTCCTGCGCTAGCGTCACGATTTCTGTCGAGTTTAGTTGGTCGGGAAGGTCACTTTGTTGATGATAGAACTTGTCTTTAACTGCATCAAGTTTGCAGTCAGTCAAGGCACAAGCAGAGATAATAAAAAGATATCGTTTCCCTCACCAGTTGCCTTAATTAAACCTTCCAGCCTAACAGAAAACTAATGACTGTTCATCGGGATGTACTGGTATGTAACACTTGATGTGACACCAACAGCATGGTCAACTGCTGATGCCGAAGACTCTCCGGATAAGCGCACTGTGAATGCAATTTTTGAGCTGACAGGGAAGTTATTCGGAATGATATACAACACACATCAATATTTAAACTTCCCAGAATCGTAGCCCAACCTGTCTATTGTCTGATCTTCATCAGGGTCCGAACTTTGAAAGTTACCAGCTTAAACCGTGCTCGCCGTTGTAACATTGAGAACAAGGTATTTAGCGAAGAGATCCTTTTCGACGAGTTTCTTTTCAATTTGTACATACGTATATACATGATAATTTAAAATTTTCATCCTGTTAGGGAAACTAAACAATATATAATAGCAATAATGATATGAGTACTTATAATTATGACTACATAATATATAGAATCGTTCATAGAATGTAGATAACTGAGAAAGAGGGGCGGGGTAGAAGTGGTGAAAGTGGTATTTCAGCGAAGTATGACGTAATAGGATTAGTAGACAAGTTGGTTAAAATGAAATCAATGCTTTCTGAAAAGATTAAGATAATTAATTGAAATAACACCGGAAACTATTCACAGTGAAGGTAATTTTCGTAAAAATGATAAGAGAAGGGTACACAGATTAGTCTAACCTAGGGGGAAACTAGTGGGGGTGAGAAAATGTTATAGTCATCGTAAAAACAGATTTCTCTTGTACACTAAGATCAGGCTTTAGTCCACGAATAGCTAAGACCTTCGCTGTTTTGAGGAGTTGAAAACGAAGAAAATGTGGTAGATATGGGCGAACTTAATACATAGTTCCATAGTTGTTGTATGGGTTTGTTAAGTGATAAAAATCAATCAAATATTCTAGAGAAGAATTTCTAACAGACTTTCTTTCACTTTTGTAAAACCAAGCTGGAATATGCTATCGTTCTTATGTAGAAAGCATTCTCTGGTTACTACCTGTGTACCTTGCGGCATAAGGATGAGTGAAATGGTAGGTGCGCATAGTGGCGACCAGATGAGGGAGCTTATCTTCCACACAAACAGAGAACAGTTTACGGCTGGTAAAAGTAAGCTGAAGTTTTGCTGCGAAGAAAGTTTTATTGATTGGTTTACACAGACGATTCTTAAGTACGTCTGATGTCTGATCATCTTCAAATTCTAGGTTCATGATCAATGTTTTCTTTGGAAGTGAGTGAGTTACCAGTTAGGTATTTATTTGCCTCATATTTTTATTAATGAAACGACAGGGGGAACCGATTTCGGTGAGCATGCTTCTCAAAAACGATGGCTCTGCATTAATACAGTCTTCACTGTAGATATTTCTTTGTTTGTGAGCTGTGATACTGCCTGGATAACTAAACCGAATCGAATGGTTGTCATAAGGTAACACTTCCTTAGGTCTTGGGCTTGAAGCCTGATCCATTAGCTGCTGAGCACCATGCTGCATTCCCATGGTTGCTGGTGACCGTGGTAGGTTTATATGCCATTCATCCATCTAAATGATGGGGCCATCATATACAGGTTTAGAGTCACGATTTTCCAACTCCCCTAGATGTGTACATTCTATACACACCGGTCCGGTTATAGCTCCGGACGTTTTCTTATCCCCTCATTTTTATCAGAACACCACCTGCCACGTGAAGATGATAAATAGGAATTCTCTGTCAGACGCTATGAATATGTGGTTGTACAAGAGCATTTTGGAATAATGACTCGGATCATATCACCGTTAGCTTGTACCAAGGCTTTATGGCGGGCAGTAAGTGTATATATTGACAGTCGCATATAAGTTAATGCCGTAGACCATAAACCACGTTCTTACTTTGTGAAGAAGGTCATAATGCTTCTTGACCACTTGAACCGTGATAAGTAGTTTTAGTTGAATGCCTAAGCACCTGGTTAATCTCATTTATCAAGTTAAATGAAGTAGAATATTGAGTGCGGCTTCATTTTCGCATTTCTATTTCCCCCTTCTACAAATAACTCCAACTAAGAAGTAGCCAATATAGTGGTTTTTTGTCGTTGTATTTTGAAATGTGCAATATCTATTTTGGTGCGTTAATGAGTTCTTAATATTGTCTGTTTCCTTTTGTTTTGCATTTAGATCAATCCTCAACATATGTATGGCATATAACAGTCGACACGATATTACACATGCAATGGAGACTTTACGCTTAGGTGTGAAAGAAGGAAAAATTATTCCTAGGTTAGTGATTTATTAATGCATGTGTATGCGGAGTTGCTATTAAACCTACACTTTCTTAAATCATAGCATATGGTTATGAAAAATATATAACCCAGTATTACTGCGCATCGGTTCAATTTCCCAGACCATACAACGAGAAAAGGCATATTTACGCAGTCTGTCTAACCAGGTTTCACAAACATGGTTACCTAGTAGTGAAGGTTTGATAACTACCACATTCACAGCATCACGTGTGTGTAAGACTCACTGTACGAGTGATGCAGAGGTTAGGTAGAAGAGAGAAGCTGATTGAGAAGTCGGTTGATAAGGTTGCGAACTTTCATCAAATTAGGTGGTTACGATACGTAATACGTATGCTGAGTTACTATCTGCACTAATTCGCTACATTAGCTAAAGTAAGGACAGGTCAGGAAAGTACTTGGTGTAGTCAGACTGATGGACAATGCCAACTTTTGAAGTCTCTTATTGTTGTTCTGAACCAGGTGGAACTGCCGGTATTCATGGTTGGTGACCACGAAACCGACCACAATAGTGCAGATTTATTCCCACACTGTCTTCTCTTCGTCTTAATTGTAACATCACAATTAGCTATTCTCTGTAACTTCTCTTTCTTACGTTTTATGGCTTTCTACGACTTTTAGGTGGATCATTTTCACTGATGTATCATTCATTTTGCATCCTATTACAGTTATATATATCGCAACTTGCATTGTTGAGCAGCGAGCAGTGTGTATCTGTCTGGAAGTACATGATATGTTTCTTACTTACGTTTCCCACTTGGTTTCTTGAATGTATTATAGCATAATAACTTGCATGTGTTAATGACGGATAGTGGCTAACAATGGAATCCAGGACGCGCTTCACATTGGGAGATACTGTTCTCACTAGGAACCGAACTCGGGACCAATTGCTTCAAACTTCAGAGTGTTGCCCAATACGCCCTAGAGTCACGATAGCCACTCCTTTTACGATAGGTGTAGTATATTCTTGTAGCTTGCTTATCTACGTGATTGACGGGACCGAATTGGTCGGTTGTTATTGGCATACTGGCTCCTGTACGCAGATGCCTCGATATTGCCGATATTTTTCAAATTTGATATTAGTGCGGACAACTTCACTCACTGAGGTGCAGGTACATCCAGCTGATGAGTCTTAGATGGAAGGAAACGCACGTCATGGATCCCCTAACCCTAGGTCCCCAAACATCCTCCACCACTGTCTGACTGACTAACAAAAAGTAGAACCTCGCCTCGGTTCAAGTCGGCACACTTCACAGTAGTGTACAAGGAAGATGTGGGTAGAAAACGAATGATAACACATTAGACAAAGTTGTGTGAGCGAATAAACAATTTGAAGACAATGGTTAGTGCAAATATTCAAGGTTTAGGAGACGTCAGTGATGTAATACATCTGCGCCACGGCGACCGATTTTCAGCTATGTCACCAAGAGTCCTCAATGATGAATTATTTTCGTCTAGCGGACCACACCCAGCCAGGTAGTTAGCATCTGCACACCCGACTGCGAACAACAACCAGGGACTTCAAGAACTGGTGTCACGTTTTGGTCTGACAACCATAAACTCTCTTCCAACCTAATCCAACTTTCTCTAGCATGGCATGTCGAGGTAGGGTATGACTTGGCATGCGCAGTACATGTCCAGGCCACCTCAGTCGACTAAGGTTAACAACCTCATCATTCGACTGGCCTGTTTTACTTAGTATCCTTTGCCTAACCTCAACATCACTCACATGGTGGTTCCATCAAACCCGACCAATGTTGCAAAGACATGTGATCAGAACCTTGCAATCACTTCATGTATTCTACTTTTAACGGCCATGTCTCACGGCCGTAGAACAGGACAGAGCGGACTATAGAGCAGTGTACTCATTCCTTGATAGATAGATATCTAGCCAGTCGACACCACAGACGACGCAAGTTGGTAAATGTCAAACGGGTCTTCTGTATCCGAGCTGACGCAACTCTTTAAGTAAGTGAAGTGGTCGACACATTCCACTGCTTCACTTCCTATCCCTTAAATTGGGAATGGTTGTAGGCCAGTCTTGGAGCATCGTCTCATATTTGATAGGTGTGAGGTGCATGACGAAGGTACTCAGATGTCTGCTCAGTGCGTTCTGAAGACCTTCTATTTTGTCAACCATCCAATCCCGACCGATAGCTGCTACATTGACGTGGTGGTCGGGCTTGCATATCACAATGACCCAACGAGCTATGCTGGTGGAACGCTTGTTCCCTCGAGGTCCTACCATACCAGAAAGGTCTGTTGGGTAGTGGTTAGACGAAAAGCAGTTACCGTTATAGTGTAAATTGCTACACTATGATGGGGGTCTGAGGGCGAAGTCGTACTGCTGCTAGCTAGCTGGATGGGGTGTGACAGCAGTAAGGTGTTTCCCTTGGATGACCAGCAGTGCCAAGCTGATGCTGCCTTCTCAGTGGAAGGGGGGGTTAGAAAAGGTCGGCCCCAAAAATAACACACTCCACCACGCCCCACGGTCTGCCGGGCCGGCGGTGTTGGTTCACTTGTCGTTTCCTTTCGCTCATCCGGCCCCAAAAATACAAAAATTCAAAATAATCATACTCAAAAGGCTGGGTGTGACAGGCCTCAAGCAGATGTCCGATGGGCTCTGCGGTCACACAAATCTCTTTCAGGTACCTTAAGAAGAAATAGCCTTCCACGGTGTGGGCAGCCGGGAAGTGTCAACCGCCCTCACAACTCTGTCAGCACCCAAGTTTCTTCTGACTGCTATCCTCCTCCTCCATCATTACCTTCTAATCTTCCTTCACGTCTCTTAATTAATGATGCTGCATCATCTTCAATTTCTCCTACCTCTGCAGCCTTCGACAACGATCTGAGTCCACAGAACAGCATCCCTGGTCTCCTTAAACCACGCTCCAAATTACATATTGGAGCCTTCAATGTCCGCACCCTCCGTCAAATTGGCCAACAGGCTTCGTTGGCAAAGACTCTAGCAACTCGAGGCATGGATGTGTGCTGTGTTTGTGAGACACGCATACAGGACCCAAGTGTGGTTATTCACCTGACCTCTCCTGACCAATCTGGTGAATCTGCAAAATTCACCCTTCGAGTTTCTGGAGATTCGATAGCTAGCTCTCGTGGTCTTGCAGGTGTAGGTATAGCATTAAGCACCAGGGCAGAAAACTCACTACTAGACTGGATCCCAGTTGATAGTCGCCTCTGCGCTATGAGGCTGAACGGCACAGTGAGAACTAAAAGGAATAGTGAGACTCGCCGTTGTCTCTTTGTAATCTCTGCTTACGCACCCACTGACTGTAGTTCGGATGAAGTGAAGGACGAGTTCTACCATAAACTGTCTAACCTCCTCTCGAAAGCCAAACGTTCGGACGTAGTGGTTGTTGCAGGTGACCTCAACGCACAGGTGGGTAGACTGAGTGAGGCAGAAAGGCACTTAGGTGGCACTTTCGGAATCCCAGCTGAACGTACAGATAACGGTGATCGCCTATTACAACTATGCTCAGATAACCGCCTATTTTTAGCCAGCACAAATTTCAGACATAAAGAAAGGCACTGTCTGACCTGGCGTCCACCGAGCTCGACTCAGCGATGGACACAGATAGACCACATTGCTATTAGTCATCGCTGGAGAGGATCGGTGGAAGACTGCCGCTCCTTCTGGAGTACGTGTTTGGACAGCGATCATGCGTTGGTCCGAGCACGTATATGCCTGCGTCTCAATGGACGTAGAAAAAATTTGGCAACAAAACCACTACGAGTTCTGCTGGACAACGAAAACACCAAAGCCGTGTTCAGTGAGAAGTTGGCTAGGCAGTTATCGGAACAAAAGACTGTCACTCATCCAGAAGAAGCTTGGTGCCATCTTCAGTCTACTGTAAAAGCAGCACTGGAGACTGTAGCCGACTCCAAGATAATGGCTAAAAAGAGCCAGTGGATATCAGCAGCTTCTTCCAAACTAATGGATGCACGTGAATGCATCCCTGCAGGCTCTGAGTACAATGAAGAGCGAGCGCAACTTAAAAATAAACTGACGAAAAGTCTGCGCAACGATCGTGAACAGTGGTGGGCAGCAAAGGCTAAAGAGATGGAAAAGGCAGCGGCGATCGGTAACAGTAGACAGTTATTTAGACTTATTAAGGAGACTGGGGGGAAATGGTCAACAACAGTTAGTGAGGTTATAGCGGAGAAGGACGGATCGGCGATTCACTCGCAGGGAAGGCGACTGGGACGATGGGCAGAACACTTTGAGGAACAGTTTAACTGGCCTCCAGCCACCATTGCGCTGCCCGCTATCCAGTCGGACCCTGAATGGGACATAGAGACAGGTCCCCCAACACTAGAAGAAGTTGAGAAAGCGGTAGGTAGCCTGAAACGGGGAAGGGCAGCAGGACCAGACGGACTACCTGCTGAGGTATACAAGAATGGTGGTAGAGTTCTCTTAGTCAGGCTAACGGAAGTGTTAGCCAGTATATGGGAATCAAATACGATCCCCTCCGACTGGTCTAAGTCACTGATCATCCCAGTCTTCAAGAAAGGCGAGAAGTCCTCTTGTGATAACCACAGAGGAATCAGCCTGACAAACATAGTGTCTAAGATCCTAAGTTCTATAATTCTCCGACGCCTGAGTGGAGCTCGGGAACAGCAAGCCCGAGAAAACCAGGCAGGCTTTAGACCTGGCCGTGGATGTATCGACCAAATATTCACACTGCGCCAGGTCCTGGAACATAGGCATGCTTACAGACGCCCGACAATAGCTGTATTTCTCGACCTGAAGGCGGCATTTGACTCCGTTGATCGAGAAGTCTTATGGCAGTGTCTGTCACTGAAAGGCGTGCCTAGTAAGTACATCACCTTATTGAAAGCTCTCTACTCGAACACTTGTGGGCATGTTAGAGCCTATGGTGAGTTGTCCAGGGAGCTATACTCATCAAGTGGTGTCCGTCAAGGATGCCCACTATCCCCATTCTTATTTAATTTTATCATAGATATTCTTATGGAGGTTTCCCTCTCGTCACCTAATTACAAAGACGTTGACCGAATCACAGGTGAATTTTCCTTAGATCTAGAATATGCAGATGACATAGTCCTGTTAGGTGAAGACGCTGACAAGATGCAGAGTCTTCTGAACACTTTGAGTGGGAATTTGAGAATGTTTGGGATGCGATTTTCACCACCCAAATGCAAATTTTTGCTCCAGGACTGGTCTTCAGCGGTACCGCGGTTAACAATAGAGAGTGAAGTGGTTGAGTGTGTTGACCACTTCACTTACCTGGGAAGTAGGATCAACTCCGGTGGGTTAGTTGCCGATGAGATTTCTGCACGGATACAAAAGGCTCGATTGGCTTTTGCCAATTTGCGCCACCTATGGCGCCGCCGTGATATTCGTTTGTCTATTAAGGGTCGCGTGTACTGCACAGCAGTCCGCTCTGTTCTACTGTATGGCTGTGAAACATGGCCATTGAAAGTGGAAGATACAAAAAGGCTTCAGGTGTTTGACCACCGTTGCCTTCGTAGTATAGGACGTATTCCGTGGTGTCACCATGTGAGTAATGCAGAAGTTAGGTGTAGAGTTTTAGGGAGAAGAGGTAAGTCAGTCGACGAGGTTGTGAACCTTCATCGACTGAGATGGTTGGGACACGTACTACGTATGCCTAGTCACCGATTGCCTCGTCACACAATGTTGGCTGAGGTGGGTTCAGGCTGGAAAAAGGCCCGAGGTGGCCAGACTAAAACATGGCACCAATGTATGAAGTCTCTGACTGTTGGTTTAAGCCATGTAGGACGATGCAGACTAGGTGGTTGGGGTCCACGGGACAAGAGGAACCAGTGGTTGGAGACCCTAGGTGATATGGCTCAGAACCGAAGTCAGTGGCGCAGATGTATACACACATTATCCTCATCTTAACAACGCTATACCGAATCTCACTATTTTGTCACTCCTCTTTCCTTTCTTCTCGTACTTTATATTTCTTTTGACTGCATTCACTTATCTTCATCCTTCACCTCACTACCTTTTTACTTGATGTGCTGATATGAGGTGTGGCAACTCGGACCGTTACGCAGTAATGCCTGGTCCTATGTTGATAATGATGATGATGATGAACCATCCAATAGTATACACCGATGTGTATTTTATGTATTTCCCGCTGATGTATGTTCGCTTGTTTTGGGTTCAGGAGGACAGACAGGGCGACAAATCAATATAAGACCTGGTATAGAAGTCGATTGGTTAGCGTTGTCACACTGCACACCAGCATACAAAGAATGAGTAGATAAGAGAAGATAATGCAGTACACAACATTGTATGAGAAAGAAGAGAAGTAAATGATACTTAGTGAAAATGTTCAGATTTTCCAAGGTGATGGAGATTGTATACATCTTTACCATGACGATGCTTTACAGCCCAGCACCAAGATTCCCCAGCCATTGGTTCCTGTTGTCTGGAACAGCCCAGTCAGAAAGCTGACACCTCCATACGTCACTTAGACCAAGAAGCTGAGATGTCATGAATTGCTGTCACGTTGTGGTTTGTCTACTCTGAGTTTTTCCCATCACTATCCTACTTTGGCTAACGTTGCACATCAAGGTATGTGGTTGCTTAGCATGCGCAAGACATGTCTAGGGTATCTCAGTCAGCAAAGGTTCACAACAACATCGGTTGTCTTGTCTACCTTTCCTAGTACCATTCACCTCACGTCGCTGTTGCGCACGCAGTGATTTCGTCGTATGAAAAAAATACTAAGGAGATACTTGGGTTAAGAGCTAGTAACTTCTTATCATCTAGTGTAAGGGTAAAACTTCGGCACTGTGGTAGATTATAATTCTATATTAGGTTGTTTATTTGGTATGGCACACTGATGAAGTATCATTTACTAGATGACGTTGTGAGCAGGATTTATTGCTTATATTCATATCACTTTGATATGACAAAGCGGATTGCTGAGCAGCATGCTTTTTTAGTGGATAGTGGGCTATCTTGTCAGAAACATACTTTCAGTACCTTACTGAAACATACTAATCCTTGATAACTCAGTGATTATTAATGTCCTAACCCCTGTATTCTGGATCCCTCAAAATAGCATTATGAGATGTCATTGAATTTCGGTAATACGTGTTCCGATCTGATTCCACTCTTCTATTGTCCCTCCAGATGAAATCTCCAATTGCAGCTGATTGTAGTAAGCGACTGCAGACTATTAACCTTGTATTTCGAGTAGCCTTTAAATCATGCCTATCGTTCTGAAGTTAATGATGCTGCAAGGTTAACAAAACCGAAGTAGATCGAGTTTTATTTATACTAGTAACTGAATGGATAATAAGTCGGTTATTACAGACCACTGAACATTTGAAAAGCAGAATTAATTATTATCAATAAGTCTTCGTGATAACTGGGACGTTCGCTATTGGTCCCAAACTAATAATAGTGGCCAAACACCCCTACTTGTCTTTGTTAACTTACATTCTTAAGTTTGGTCGCATTTAATCTACTAAACAAGTATACAATCTATAAATAAAATAATCGCCTTTTTGAAATCTTTCAGTGCGTAACGAAGTGAACTTCTAAATTCCAACTCACAAAATACAATGTTTTAAGTATTTGGACAGCTACACCACATTATTAGTTATTGTGGTAAGTGATGATTAGTCCCTTGTGTTGGTGATTTGTAGTATCTCTAATTACTGAAACCTGTGTACACATATCCATTTCAATCTTGTGAATAAAACCTGGAAAATACACATTTCAGTCCCCGGAAGAACTCTTGAAGGCAGACTGTGATAGAACTGCGTAGTCGGAATTGACCAAATGATGAAGAATCAAATCAGTAATTGATTTGCATTCTCCTCTCAACAGGCAGGTATACTGCAGGCTAACGCTCAGATATGCATTTGAATATCAGCTGTCCAATGTCAAAGTAGACGGTTCAAAATCAGTACAATTTGTCATCTTATGCGCAGCACAGAAGCATTAACAGTTCATCAGTTCAAGCCAGATCTCTGTCTGAATTCATAGGTAGACTGTGGTGGGGGTAAGTAGTCGTTTTATTGTAATTGAATGAGTTTATAAGCTAACTTTTCAAACTTTCCGTAGACTCTGTCATATTAAAGTGTTTCGCATTTCAACTAGACTTTCGATGTATCGTTTCATTATGACAATAATTATTTTTGTTAATATTATTATTTAGTGATATCACGCCTAAACTCTTATCAAAATGTCTTTATACACGTCTTTCTAAACCATTGGACTTGATTATTCGTACTTCTGGTGAAATTCGACTGAGTGATTTTTTAACTTGGCAAGCCTCAGAAAACAGTGCAATCTATAAATTTATCAACAGTTATTGGCCTGAATTTACATGGTGGGATTTTCTACTGTCTATTCTACACTACCAGTTATCATGCTTACAGTTAATGGTAAGTGACAAATACGAAATAGTAATTCTTTTTCTTAAAGGGAAATTTATGTATTGTATTAATCTTGGTGGCTAACAGTGGAATCCTGGACGTGCTTTTCGTCCTATTTGGGACTTGTCAGCTGTATGTATCTGGACTCCAGTGAGTAGTGTTGTTCTCATTGAGACTCGGAGCTAGTGCCCATCGCTTCAAATCCCAATAGGTTACCCGCCGGGGCAGAAGAGCCACCTTTTGTGCAACAAGTATCGTTGATACTGTAATTTCCCTTTGCTATGCAGGCTCGAATTGTTCGACCTCTGTATCATTGCTTTTTTCGTCGAAAAAAATTACTTTCACTTTTCTGTAAAGTAGTCATGCTGACAATATTGATTTTGAAACGCACTAATTACAGCTGTACCATAATAGGCACAGTGATTGGCTCTTTGTGGAAGTGGATAATGTATACAATTTATTCGCTGAGTCTTAACTAGTTCAGAGCTTAAGTTTTGAGTGTTGAAGTCTGTCATTTGGTTGGTACACACTAGTTACAAATTCGCGATCATATTGTGCACTTTAGTGTTAGCTTATTGCAATTAATCGGCGAAGAGTACCAGACACAGGCTTCTTAGTTGTTGAAATTCATCAGAAATTTATTGGGGAGTTTTGATGGACACTCACTGTCGAATATCTAGTGCATACGCTAGCATTTCATAGTATCGCCCCTAACATACGGGACTGGTTGCTTCGTGCAAGGCGAACCCTCACTGCTATTTTTAAAAGTGAATTTTAGCTCGGAAACCATATATACGTGTACTGATCCACCATCAAATATCCGACCGGCATATGCTACCTTGACGTGGTCGCCGGGCTTGTACATCACAATGACCCAATGAGCTACACTGGCTGTAACGCTTGTTTCTTCAAGGTACTATCATACAAAGAAGGTCTGTCGGATAGCGGTAAGACGAAAAGCAGTTACTACGCTTTGGTGTGGGTTGTAGGGCGAAGTCGGAATCCTGGCTGGCTGGGGTGAGACAGCAGTAACATGTTTCCTGCGGATAACCAACTGCAATCCTGATGCTGCCTTCCTATAGAAGGAAGGGGGAAGGTTGGCCCCGGAAATGGCACTCTCGTTGGTCTGATGTCTTCCGGCGCTGGCGGTATGGGTTTCTCCTATGCTACCGAATAGCAAACCAATAACCCACAAAAGAGTGTCTGTGACAGGCCTCAAACAGTTATCCCATGGGCTCTGTGGTTACACAAATATTTTCCTCTTCTTCTTCAGGTATCCTAAGAAGAAATAACCTTCCATGGTGTGGGGAGCAGGGAAGTGTCATTCACTTCATTTTTCCAGAAGCATTTAAGACTCATTCAAACATGACCTTTGATCATTACTTCTGTCTCCCCTTACAACTTCGTAAATCTCTCACTCTGCGAACATTGCCAGCGATCCAAGCCATTGAAAGCTCATTCCCAGTTTCCTAAGATTCCGCTGTCGATTTCATATTCGAGCTTTAAACGTCAGAACCCTATGCCGAATTTAGGACCAGATATTTCTCACCAGAACTACGGTCACGCGTTAGTACCACCACGTGTGTATATCTGCGTCTTACTGATCTCAAGAAAAAAGCACCAATGAAGCTTGTGCGTGTTCGATTAGAATATGGAAACACTACATTATTATTAAGAGAGGGAATACCTAAGTATCTCTCTGAACGTGACAGCAATCCTCATCCTGAGGAAACCTGGTGTGATATTAAGTCTGCTGTAGGCAGTTGGCAACCTGCATCCAAAGGTTAGCCAACATCAGTTAATTTCCACAACGTCAGCCGAACCGATTGATGTGAAAAGATTCATTCCAGCTGGCTCTGACCCTGAATTCAATCGAAGGGGAAGGGAGATCAAACGTAATTTGACCAAGAGTCGTCGGAATGATCACGAAGAGTGGTGTCTAGAGAAGGCGAAAGAGATAAAAGTAGCATCAGAAATTGATAAAACTTGGCAAATATTTGGACATTAAAGATGCAGAAGAGAAGAACATGGCGGTTAGTGAAATCATCACCGAAACGGATGGGATGCCGACTAAATTCATGACAAGCACCTAGAATGTTTGCAGGAACATTTTGAAACACAATTCAGCGGACCTACAGCTACACTTCAATCACCCAACATCGAGCCGGCCCAAACATGAATGGGATGTAGATGTCAGTTCTCTAACTCTCGTCGATGACTGTGGCTCAGTGGTTTGAGGAGATAGCTATCAACCATCGGGTCAGGGGCTCGAAACCCGCTCTAGGAGTCTAAACAAGTTTCGTGACTCATCCTTCACTTCACCAAACTGTAATCAGTGGGTGGGTAAGCAAACCTCACAGATAGACAACGGCTAGTTTCATTATTTTTTTAAGGCTTCCTTGTGCCTTTCAGTCGAACAGCACGTAGGGGATTATCAGCTTGGATCCAATCAAGTAGTGAACTTTCTTCCCTAGGAATTGCAGCTCTTCTTCCACATATAAGACCACGAAAACAAGCTATCGTACTTCCAGAACCTCGAAGGGTGAATTTCGCAGATTCACCATATTGGCCGAGTGACGTTAAGTGGATAAAAACACTCGGGTTCCGTATCCGTGTCTCACAAACACAGCATAAATCCATGACGCAAGTTGATAGAGTTCCGGCTACTGAAGCTTGTCGGTTGACTTGACGGAGGTGCGGAAGATTGGAAGCTCCAAAGTTTGGTTTGAGGATTGGTTTCAGAAGACCAAAGGCGTTGTTTCATGAACTGAGATGATTGTCAGAGCTGCAGAGCTGCAGAGCTGCGAGAAATTGAAGATGGTATCAGAATGTTGACTGAGAGATGTGAAGGAAGGTTAGAAGGTAGGGATGGAGAAGGTGGACAGTGATATGAAGGAACATGGGGGCCGACAGAGTTGGGGAGCAACTGACAATTTTCGACTGCTTGCACCACGGAAGGCTAGTTCATCTTGAGGTACTCGAAAAAGATTCGTGCGTTGTGGCACAACCTAAGAGACATCTGCATGAGACTGGTCACACACTCGCTTTTTTATGCTACAGTTTTATTTGTGGATCCGACTATGAACCCAGGTCGCTGGCAACGGCATGCCACTGGGTAGATGGTAATGTGCTATCTGTGTGGTACTGCCGGTCATCCGACAGAAATAACTTACTTCTGTTACAACACCGTCCAGCCAGCAGTATGACATTGCCCTCAGACCCCAATCATAGTGTAGAAATTTGCACTATATAGAGATAACTGCATTTCTCCTTACCATTATTCAACAGATTTTTGTGGCATGGTAGGACCTCGACGGAAGAAGCGTTCCACCAGCATGGCTCTTTGGGTTATTGCGGTATGCAGGCACAGCCCACGAGTCAAGGTAGCAGATATGGGTCGGGCGTTTGATGACTTGACCAAGGGTTTTTAAAAAAAAGTAGGAGTCAATTCAGCATTTTTACTTAGAAATTATGCAAGATTCCTTTTTTAGTGTTGGAATTATTTTGAATTGTATCAGGTGAATTTTCAGCACAAGATCTGGCTTTAAAGTGTAGTGATCCATGTTGAATTGAAATATTGAAAGTATCAGAAGATGAAATGAAGCAACGAAAAGTGTCAAAAGCTGTGGTTAGTCATAGTGCAAAAGGAAAATGCCATCATGGTAAGAAAGAAGCGTAATATTGCGATTTAGGTAAGTAATGAGTGCTTCTGAGTCACTAGGATCTACTTTTAGCCATCTCCAGGCATCGATTTCGTTTGTCTAGCGAATTCCAACCAGAAGCTCACATCTTTCTACATGAATCGAACTAACAGCCAAAAGTTTCATGAACTGATGGTATGTTGCGATCTCGCCAGCGTTAACTTTTCCTCAACCTCATCCCGCTACATCTAGCACAAAAATTTGTTGTAACCTCATTCATATGCGAAGCGATCGTGAATTTGTCGATAAACCTTGGTGGTTATTATTCTTTGTTATTATATCACATGCTTCTTAAGCTTATCCAGTTTTTCGCTATATATTTCCCAGCCGTTACTCACAGCTAAAAGAACAAAACTTCTGTTGGCTAACGACAGTAATCATGAAGACGACAGTGATACTGTAAAAGTGAATAGTTTACAAGAAAGTGACGCTGGTGATCAACGAGTCAATTCATTTCTTAACTTTCTGGATAAAACATTTTGGCAGAATATGAAAATGTTGGCTGCTTAGTCTTACGCTGTAAAAGATACGGTGTGTACACTCTCACCTATGTGTATTTTTATGCATGTGTGAATCATAACCTGTGATTAGACTGATTAATCATGAATGTATGCGTGATGTTATTTTCATTATAATTTATCCGATGATATCTTATTCTAAACAGTGTAATTTTCTTCCTACTGCCGTTAGTATTTTGGGATATAATATCATCAATCCTCTGCACCACATTGAAGGTAATAGTTTAGTGGTACAAATTTCTCAAAGGCTAATCACGAAAATTATGTAGGGAATAGCTGCATAGGTTTCATCGTTATTCATTCTATTCAACTAGATTTTAGTTAAGATGTTCAAGTTTGATGCATGTTAAACTAATTGATCTGGAGAACGATTGCAATTAGCAGTGAAAAAAGGTTTATTATCTAGGTTTTATTAAATTTTTTCTAAAGAGGGAATTTGATAACTCCATCGATCAAGAAGTGGGGTGACAGTGTCTCACCGTGGAAGCATGTAGTGCTAGTCCAGATTCCCTCTCCTCATACTCACTGAACTGTGTAAGGGTTTTTGGAGAGTAGCAACAATCTGTAGTACCCATTAGGCATATCTAGTGTCATCATTTTTGTCCAACTGTGCTGTAGATATACACCTCCAACTTTTGGGGGATTGGCCTACTCCTACTAGGGCCTCTAGTTGACTTGGAATATGCAAACGATATTTTTGTCTTAGGCCAAGACGCTGACAAAATGCACCTATCAAGTGTGAAATGATGCTTCACAACTAGCCTGGACCAGCTCCTAGCTCAACAATAGGGAGTGAAGTGGTGGAATGTGTTGATGGCCACTTGACTTTTTGCGGGAGTTGTGTCAGCTGAAACGGGCCGGTTGCTAACGAAATCGCAGCTCGTATATGGTTGGCCAGTTTGGCATTTGCCAACTTGTGGCACTGACTAGTGAGGTATTGGTTAACCTATTAGAGGACGAGTATAGCGTGCTGCAGTCCGTTGTGTCCTGTTATGCGGTTGTCAGAAATAGTCGTTGAAAGTAGAAGGTATGAAGCCATGAACAGATGTCTTGTTAGCACCACTGATGTATCGAGAAATGTCAAGGTCGGATGAAAGGTGGCATTTAAACCTACAGGCTCACTTAGAAATAAGCTCCATAGGTTAAAAGATCCTACTGATCCAATGAGGCAGAATAATTTGGCTTACTAAATCCCTTGCAACGATTGCGGGGTCAAACATATCAGTCAAATTAGTCGACCAGGGTCAATTAGGCTATTCGAACTCAAAAACTCAGCTAGGTCAAAACTGGTTGATCCTAGTAAGATAAAGGACTTATAAAAAAGCTCGGTCATAGCTATCTATGCAGTCACACATAGTAGGATGGGACAAGGTGAAAATCCTCAAAAGAAAGCAAGCGTGGTGGAGGGAGAGATTCCAACTTTGTTTATCGAATCACCACTTAACATATGCAACAGGAAAGATTCTGCATCTATTACGGGTGTACGTAAAATCTAATTACCCATTTCACAAAGTAGGCGAGAAAATTAGAGCTATATATAAAGTATGTCCCAAAGTTGTGGAGTTATCTTGATATGACGACTATGGATAATAAATTGTGTGCGAAACGTAATTCAGTAAACACTACCGTCCCGCTGTGTAATACATCTAATAAACCAACTAAAATGGAATTACATTCTATCCCAGTGCTCAAATATTACCCTTATATTAATGAAATACAGATGTTGTATTCGCTTATGTTCTTGTAATAAATAACATGACGTTTGTATTCATTGTAAAAGCAGTCATTTGAGGGGATATTTTTGCCGAAAACAACTTAACGTTACATTAGATATTTCAAAATGAAGGGAAAGCAAGACATATTATCTCTTGATAGCGATGACTGGACTTATACGTCAGGGGAGAGTGGCCAATGTCGTGTTGTGCTTATTTTTATGTTTTTTTTCCGAATGCTAACGATATAGTTTCTGGCCACTAGGTTGAGAAATACCATTGTGGTGAACTTAGATCGGTGCTGAATGGCAATCAGTAGGAGGCCCGACTAATAGCTGTATCTTGACTTGGTGGTCGGGCTTGCATATCGCAAATAGCCATTCTGGTAGGACGTTTTCAATGTCCCGCACCTCCGTCAAGTCAACCGACAAGCTTCAGTAGCCGGAACTCTATCAACTTGCGTCATGGATTTATGCTGTGTTTGTGAGACATGGATACGGAACCCGAGTGTTTTTATCCACTTAACGTCACTCCGCGAATATGGTGAATCTGCGAAATTCACCCTTCGAGTTTCTGGAGATTTGATGGCTAACTGTCATTGTCTCGCAAGTGTAGGGGTAATATGGAGTACTGAGGCAGAGAGTTCACTACTTGATTGGATCCAAGTTGATAGTCGACTTCGCACCGTTCGACGTAATGGTGCAGTGAAGACTAACACGAATAGTGAAATTAGCCGTTCTCTCTTTGTAACCTCTGCCTACTCATCCATTGACTGCAGTTCGGAAGAAGCAAAGGATGAGTTCTATCGAAGATTGTCAGGTCTGCTGCAGAAAGCCAAACATTCAGAATTAGTTTTCCTAGCAGGTGAACTCGATGTAGAAAGGAATTTAGGTGGGACTTTCTAAACCGCAGTTGAACGAACAGATAGTGGCGATCGCCTACTGTAGCTGTGTTCAGACAATCATGCGTTTCTGGTTAGCAGAAACTTCAAAAAATAAGGAGTAAAATTGTTTGACATGACGTCCACTGACCTCAATTCATCTGGGAACACAAATGGAGTACTTTACTATCCGTTATCGTTGGAGGGCCGGTGGGAGATTGTCACCACTTCTGGACCCCGTGTTTGAACAGCGACTAACTGTTGTTTCGACCAGGTGTATGTATGCACCGAAACAAATGTCGAAATAGTGCAGCTGAGTGCACTAAGACTGCTTTCAGCAAGGAGCTGGCTAGTAATTTATAGGAAAAGAACAGCACTCGTGCGGAAGAAGCGTGATGTCATCTCCAGTCTGCTGTCAAGGCAGCGTTGAAGACCGTAGCCGACTCCCATATAGTGGTTTCAAATGTGCAGTAAATTTTTTCGACAGCGGTGAAATGCAAACCGAAAAGACGTCATCTTACGGTTAACGCGTGAATCATCGGTTAACTCAGGAACATGTTTTTTCATGCGTATGTGTATGCATTGAAATAGACGCAACAATTACACGGTTAGAAATAGCATAAACGTATCCTAAATTCTACCCCCGATTTAAGAAAAAGCAATGCTGTCAGATTTCAGTTATAACCTAGTGCATACTAACTACTTTCAGAGCCCTAATCAGTGCTGGGTTGTTTACTTCTAAATAAAAATAAACCTTCATGGATTATTTCTGTGAAGTCATCATCATTATCAACATAGGACCAGGCATTACTGCGTAACGGTCCGAGTTGCCACACCTCATATCAGTACATCAAGTAGAAAGGTAGTGAGGTGAAGGATGAAGATAAGTGAATGCAGTCAAAAGAAATATAAAGTACGAGAAGAAAGAAAGGAGGAATGACAAAATGGTGAGATTCGGTATAGCGTCATTAAGATGAGGATAATGTGTGTATACATCTGCGCCACTGACATCCATTCTGAGCCATATCACCTAGAGTCTCCAACCACTGGTTCCTCTTGTCCCGCGGACCCCAACCACCTAGTCTGCATCGCCCCACATGGCTTAAACCAACAGTCAGAGACTTCATACATTGGTGCCATGTTTTAGTCTGGCCACCTCGGGCCTTTTTCCAGCCTGAACCCACCTCAGCCAACATTGTGTGACGAGGCAATCGGTGACTAGGCATACGTAGTACGTGTCCCAACCATCTCAGTCGATGAAGGTTCACAACCTCGTCGACTGACTTACCTCTTCTCCCTAAAACTCTACACCTAACTTCTGCATTACTCACATGGTGACACCACGGAATACGTCCTATACTACGAAGGCAACGGTGGTCAAACACCTAAAGCCTTCTCATATCTTCCACTTTCAATGGCCATGTTTCACAGCCATACAGTAGAACAGAGCGGACTGCTGTGCAGTACACGCGACCCTTAATAGACAAACGAATATCACGGCGGCGCCATAGGTGGCGCAAATTGGCAAAAGCCAATCGAGCCTTTTGTATCCGTGCAGAAATCTCATCGGCAACTAACCCACCAGGGTTGATCCTACTTCCCAGGTAAGTGAAGTGGTCAACACACTCAACCACTTCACTCTCTATTGTTAACCGCGGTACCGCTGAAGACCAGTCCTGGAGCAAAAATTTGCATTTGGGTGGTGAAAATCGCATCCCAAACATTCTCAAATTCCCACTCAAAGTGTTCAGAAGACTCTGCATCTTGTCAGCGTCTTCACCTAACAGGACTATGTCATCTGCATATTCTAGATCTAAGGAAAATTCACCTGTGATCCGGTCAACGTCTTTGTAATTAGGTGACGAGAGGGAAACCTCCATAAGAATATCTATGATAAAATTAAATAAGAATGGGGATAGTGGGCATCCTTGACGGACACCACTTGATGAGTATAGCTCCCTGGACAACTCACCATAGGCTCTAACATGCCCACAAGTGTTCGAGTAGAGAGCTTTCAATAAGGTGATGTACTTACTAGGCACGCCTTTCAGTGACAGACACTGCCATAAGACTTCTCGATCAACGGAGTCAAATGCCGCCTTCAGGTCGAGAAATACAGCTATTGTCGGGCGTCTGTAAGCATGCCTATGTTCCAGGACCTGGCGCAGTGTGAATATTTGGTCGATACATCCACGGCCAGGTCTAAAGCCTGCCTGGTTTTCTCGGGCTTGCTGTTCCCGAGCTCCACTCAGGCGTCGGAGAATTATAGAACTTAGGATCTTAGACACTATGTTTGTCAGGCTGATTCCTCTGTGGTTATCACAAGAGGACTTCTCGCCTTTCTTGAAGACTGGGATGATGAGTGACTTAGACCAGTCGGAGGGGATCGTATTTGATTCCCATATACTGGCTAACACTTCCGTTAGCCTGACTAAGAGAACTCTACCACCATTCTTGTATACCTCAGCAGGTAGTCCGTCTGGTCCTGCTGCCCTTCCTCGTTTCAGGCTACCTACCGCTTTCTCAACTTCTTCTAGTGTTGGGGGACCT